TCAGGTCTAGGTCTCGGGTTACACCACAATCGTGCATTCGAATCTGAGAAAACAAATTCATGTTTCCCAGCTCGATATCCCGTAACACCTGCATCGAATCTTCTACGCATCATGGAAGTCCCGGCCTTATTGCTGGAGCGAGAGCGAAAGCTGGGGCTGGAACACCAACGGCTTCTGTTGCGTCCCCATCTAGCCTCATGCCTTTTGTCAGACAACAACACACGGATGGCCGAATCACCGACTACATCCCTCAATGGAACCACTTCATCGATCGATCCTGGGGAACTCACGACATTCTCCGGCCCCACGATGTCCTCCCCTGCTGCACCTCAAGTCGCGGATCGCCCGAGCCGCAACGCTTCACATCGACTGGGAAGATGCTTTACCGCTCCCGAGTGTCAGATCACGACACCAAGTCTCGTGGCGTACCGGCATCATCGATCCTCCACCACCCTGTTTGCCAAACAACAAGGCCCCCGAAACATGGCACAGCGGTCTCATCATCAGCTCCAGAACTCTCTGACAATGACATGCGCTTACCGTCATAATTAGCCCGGTTTGATCATCCGAAAGTCACCGTTGGTGTGTTTGCTTCTCCAGCCATGGCTATGGAGGACACGGCCAAGCCGTCGTGTGACCGCCTTAGTCGGTGCTCTGTCAATGCGGCCAAGTGTGTAAAGACGACAGGCAGACATTTTGCCCATCGTCTATCGCCAATCCGGGGTATGATCGTAACGCGCCCGCCTGCATGAAGTAATTCCTCAACTGCCTAACTGCTTCCTCAAGTGCAGAAGCCGACTGTGTCAGCTGTCGTCCAAAGCGTTCCTTGAGCGTCGTTCGCCGTTGTAAGGCGGCACTCTCAGACGTACCACTATCTCGGTTTTCGATCGGCGTCCTCACCAAAACCTTTCTGGCATCGTTCGCGAAGTTCTCATGACTATCATCGAATTCTGACACGAGATTTACACAAACATGGCCACCGTCATGCGACGTATTCTCGTGCAAAGTTGTCTCCCACCCATTCGCATGGACAAACGACGTCGTCTACTCCACCGGCATTCACAATGCGAGTCACTCTCTTCACCCCCGGGTACACCGTTTCATGCCCCCTTACGATTATTCACCGTCGGTAGACGCAGCCGGTGCCGAGAGCCACAACACAACACATCACCGCTTCACGTGGGGCTGAGTCATCGTCTGAACACGAAGAGAAGCACGACTCGCTCACTGCAGGCCTCCACAACTCATACTTTCCAGAGTCGTATCTAGCAGTCCCGACTAAGGGCTGCCAAGTCCAGATGCGCACTCGAAACGGACCTTGGACGAAGTATCCGCCAGTTCCATAGGCGGGGACTCGTGTGAATAGTTACCGACTACATTTTGGGATACACCATCCCACGTTTCATGACTCCGTTTCACTCCCACGAACCCATCATGACAGAAACGATGTAAACGAAACTTTCAAGGACGAAGGACAAAATAGAGAAAGAAAGCTACGTGGAACAAGTCATGGGAAACCTTGGCCGGACTACGGACTACTCAAATTCCCTTGGCAAATACGCATCGTCGCGATTTGATCGGTTGCTATCGTGAGAAGCAATCGAATGCAAACACACCGCCATCACAACTCTCTTTCCCGTTCATTCGTGTGGCACGTCCGTCCGTCTACTGGATGTGCTGAGTGCGCTCTCGCACGACTGCAGTCTGCATATCGTGATTTGCGTCGGCACTATGCCGCTGCACTCTCATATCCCAAGTCCAACCGCAGAGTCTACAATACCGCTCGAGGAGCCCTGCATGCCCCCGAACGTCTTGATCCATCCAACATTGAGAGGCGGTAAAGATCAGGTTCGCATTCCACGCGCCACGTGTGTTGGCAAGATACATACTTCTGTCAAGCACGTTTCTATATCACCATCGCTATGCGGCATACCGGGTCGAAGGAAGATTTATGTTGCTCTGCGTCCGCTATGCAAGATGACAGCACAAACTGACGATGATACGTCGCGCAACGTCTCAGCCAACCTATCATCCAACGAAGCCTCGTGGCTGCCAGGGTCAGTGCAGTGGTAGGTGCATCAAGCTTCACAACCGTAACCCAAACCTGCGGCGCCAGCCACGAAGTCTTCCCCCCCTTTTAGCTGTGCTAACTTGCTTAGGTCTTGAACCGCGTCAAAGCTTAGCCAGACAACATGCAACAACCTGCAACAACCTGCAACCACACGGCCGATCCCTTGCGATCCATTAGAGCGCCGCTACTTAAATAGCACTGGGACCTGATTATCGATTGCCTGCGTCTGGCTGCCGTTGTCTGTGACCCGGAGGAAACCTTCCTAACCCATCATAGCAACCTTCGAGAAGGTGCAAGACTGGGGGTTCGAGCCGCATGGAAGAAGTCAATCATCACATCACCGCATCGCACGCGAAGCCATACCACCAAGCCGAGCTTCATTGCCGTTTCCCAATTGAACCACCCAGCGAGGAACGAGCCTGACTCAAGAACCCCGTCTTCCTTCCCACCCTCACCCATCTTCTCAGGCAATGCACGCTTCCCTCCCCTCCTGCCGACGGAACCGGGAAAACCAAACGCAGAGCGGCAACCCTAAGACGAACGGTAACGCGCAAACCAAAGTCCAAATGGCCTGTTCTTCACGTGGTCTGTGAATTTCGGTTCGCTTCACGTGGCAAAGGCGGCAGGAAGAGACGAACCTCACGCCATGGCCCGTCCACCCTCCTCTTGCCACGCACACAAATCGCACAATCTTCAATGGGGTTTGGAAAAGAAGATTTTGGACTTACCGTTTCCTCACTGCCGCTGGCATCTCCGCCGTCCAACCGCGTCAGCCGTTCCTGACCCTTACCCTCGTGGCGGGCACACCAGCCCGGCTGGACTTTCCGGATCATTCTTCCCTCCCATCGTATCCTTTTCCCCGGTTCATCCATGATTTGACGACTCTTCCCCAGCCATCGCCAATGAAAGCAGTCGACTAACAAGGTGGGATCATGACCAAAAGTCATCCTCTTCTGCGTCTGAAGGTTGGCAACAACCCCAAAGATCGCCTTTTGGGAAATCTTCCCGACCAGACACTACCGCGAACTTGGAGAAGCACCGGCGAGACGTACACTCATGCGACCACTATCAACTTCAGACGCTGCGTTGGCTTTTTTTCAATCTTCCCTTTGCCCGTTCTAGCCCTCCTTCACAACTGGCAATTGGTTCGCTGCTTGTCCATCATCCTCTTGCCCGTGCTGCTGCTTATCTGCGTTCGTTTAATGATTCATGTGCCGGCTCTATGCATCCGATGTAATTGTTGGCTGGAAATCGCCAGCCAGCTCTCAGGGACAGGGGGCGTGTGCCGCGCGTTAAGCCGAAAAGTCCAAGTCGCGTGCTCGCATGCTTTTTTGGGGCCGTCTTTGGAGTACCGTCTTTGGTGAAGGTTAAGTGTGACATTCGGCCTTCGATGGGCATCCTGGATGCAGCAAGACGCCGCACCGATGCCGGAATCCATCTCTTCGTGGTTCCCACCCCAACACCGGCCTGCTTTGACGATCCGAATCTCAGGCTGTGGTGATGTTGACGATTAAATCGACCGGCCCGCAGCTTCCAGCTCCAGTCGAGAAATGGTTGTGATAGTTGTGGTGGTCTTGTGGTCGTCGTCTCGCGGGCTCCTGTGTCTGATTAGCTGGGATTGGATGACAGATCAACTGCCAGGCGCAGTACAACATGTCACATCAAAAACATTGTAGCCATCAATGGGCTTGAACAGAGGATGAACGAGCATTGAGCGCGAACTATAGTACAGGCAGTAAGTAGGTATAAGAGGGAAGGCTTGAGGCAGGCGTCCACGCAGGAAAACAACTTCATCACCTCAATCCTCCGTTCCACGCATTTCTCGTTCCGTAAGCGGCCGTCGTGTCGTCCCTTCTCTCTCCTTTTCAGTTTTCTCCGTGTTTTCGCCCATCCAAGCAAACAAGCCCCCTCGGTAGGGAAGCTCCAAAAGGGATCGACATCCGTTTACACACGAAACCAACTCCCCTTCCCTTCCTTTCCGACGTGTATAGGAAAACGACAGCTCGCCGCCACAAACAAACCACCCAGCCCTCTCCCTCAAAGCCTGTTTTCACTCCTTTCTTCTACGAGGCGGACCAGCTCCACCTCGACTAAGCTTCGGCTTCGCGTCGCGTGGCGGTTACACTTGGCGCTTTCGTCTATCAGACCAATACCACCGGAGAATCGAGGAAATATGACGAAAGGAAAGGCGGGATCGAGAGATGCGACGCGTATTTTTATGGGTGAGCGCAACGGCGAGGGGGGAATTATCGGACTGGAGAAAATCCTGTTGTCGGTGGTATAGAAAACTCCTGCTGCAACAAAAAAAAAAAAAGAGTGCAGCCCTATCCGCCTTGGGCCGTCGTGGGAGAAAGGTCGATGTCGGAATCGTGTGCTTTGCTTGTCTATGCGTGTAGGGTTGGATTTTGGTGGGGGTATCAAAATGCCTCGATTCCGTTCCCTCCTTGGCAATCCTGTAGTATCCGGATCCGGTAGCAGACGTTGTGGGAGATGTGAAGCATACATGACTCGGGAAAGGCCACATGTGGGAGAACCAACAATGTGTTACAACCGCCCAATCTAACAATCAGGTGCTAGAATGAGGCCAAAAAACTATGGTGCAAAAGAATCGAGGACGATGGGTGATGGCTGGCGCATGGCAAAGGAAAAAAAAAGAGACCCTGTATAGTTCCTACAGCCGCCCATGCCGGTAAACGGGCGGCTCCAGCTGGATTTGGTAGACGATGAAAAGTGAGCTTTGGTATGAGCAGGTGTTTCGTGACTTCGTCCTGAATGCGCCAGTACTTGCGGATTAGAAAAAGGCGGCATCAGGGTTTCGAAAATTAAGTAGGCCAAATAACCACTCGACAGAAGATTAAAATGGTTTCGCGCGTACTGGAACCGGTATATCCAGACAGGACTTCGTCATTGTCGGGTTCGGGTGGTTGATTTAGTATGCCCAGATTTTCAGCTAGGGAAAGCTGTCAGTACGGTCGTGTCGATAAGCGTGTAGGGAACAACATACGAGAGAATCCCAGGATCCTGTGCACAGGCTGATGCCGTCGTTGCTAACGCCCAAGCAGCTGACTCTGTTTTCGTGGCCGACGAGCGAGCCAACCTTTTCACCGCGTGTTACGTCCCAAACCTGCCCAAAAATTAGTAATCGGTCCTTGACGCTGAAAGTGCGTTCGGAATTCAGGAGCATACCTTGCACTCAAAGTCATCATAGCCAGCAAACAACAACCGCCCAGAAACCGAGGTCGCCACGGAGGTGATGCCGCACAGGATAGATTCCGACTGTCAATCGAGTTAGCGGTCTGTAGTGCCAATCAGACGAGATGCTGCTGGCGGTACTTACGCCGTAAAGGTTCAATTCTCGGTCGGCACGAATGTCGAAAAGTCGGCAGGTCGCGTCGTCGGAGCCGGTAACGAAGGAGTGGCCGTCCGGGAAGAACTGGATGGCGTTGATGTCGGACTCGTGGCCAGCGAATGTCTGGACGGCCTTGCCGGCACGAATATCCCACAGCTTAGCAAAGGCGTCGCAAGCACCGGAAATGAATGTGTTGGAGTTGGTCGGGTTGAGGCTGATGCTCATGACATCGCCGAGATGGTCGGCGAATTCGATGACCTTTTGACCCGTTTCGATATCCCACTTCATGCAAGTCATATCACCTGATGAGGTAAGGATACTCCGATCGTTGATGAATCGACAGCACGATAGGTATCCGGCATGGCCAGACAACTCCCTCGCGACGCGCGTAGGACCCTCTCTCTGTTGGTTGAGGTTGTAGATGGAGCAAATGTTGTCGAGACCACCGCAAGCCACGTAGTTACCGCTGGGGGCGTAGGCGCAGGTCATGACCCAGGAGGAGCGTAGGGGAATCGCGTGGACCTTGTTCGTCGTGTAGGCATCCCAGATGATGAGCTTTCCGTCTTGCGAAGCGGAGACGAGATGTCTTCTGTCGGTCGACCAGTGCATGGCGTAAATCTTGGCCAAGTGACCCTTGAGCGTGCGCTTTGCCTTCATCAGCTGGTTCTTGGGGATCGGCTCGTGGGCCTGCTGGGCAACGGTGCGGACTGTTATTCAGGGGACGAATTGTCAGCATCTTCACGACGGGTGGTCGGGGGGCAATTAAGACGACGGGTCGGGGGCTTTGTGGTCGGGGGTCGTCGCCGCCGTCGTCGATTGAATGAATGATTGATTGAACTCACGAGTTGTGTCGGCGAGCTCATCCTTCTTCCGCTTGATCCTATCCTTGAGTGTCTCAGCCTCGCGTCGCGCTTGCTGGATGCGCGCCTGCATCGCCTCGGGCGACACATCGTTTTGGCTTTGAGAGTTCATCGTCGTGGACTATCGGCCTCGATCAATGGGATGGCGGGAGAGAGGGACGGCTGCTGATGAGAGGAGAGGGCGACGGTGATGTCGGAGGGTGGTGTGGTGGTTGGTGGACGAGGAGGACGGACGGGTCGGAAAGGAGGAGGTGGTGTCGGTCGACTGTCGTTGGATGAGGGTTGAGGGTTGGAATTGAAATTGAGCGGGAGCCGGTGGAGAGGGAGGAAAGAGAGGTGTGTGGTGGTTGTCCAGTTCCAGATGGAAGGGGAATGCAAGCTCCAGGGGGGGGGGGGGGTTGCTTTGCGCGGACCAGTAAAACAGCAGGGTCGAAAGGAAATGATGGCCGTCTGGGGGGTGTTGAATTAAGAGCGAGCAGCAGGAGAGAGCGAGAGTGGTCGCAGGTACCTGCCGTGTCTGCGAGAAGGTGGCCTGGTGGGTGGTACCTGGCTGGGGAGGGGCCTTATGCAGAAAACCCAGTAGTCGGGTGGACAAGACAGGGCAGGGCAGGAGTAGTGTGCAGGAGGCAGGAACAGGAACAGGAGAGAGATGGGCAGCAGAGCTGGCTGGTTGGATGGATGCTGGGCCGGGTGCTGGGTGCTGGGTGCTGCTTGGTTACCTTACGTGGTAGCGTAAGGTGGGCGTGGGCAGCAGTAGCAGTAGCAGCGGCAGCGGCAGTGGCAGGCTGGCAGCAGTCGCGGTCGCAGTTGCAGTCGGAAGGAGCAACGCAACACTAACAGCAAAGGTGGTGGCACTAACGAGAACAGCGCAATCGGAAAGGCGCGAGGTGCTAAGGAAAAGGCAAGGAAGGCACGGCTGGACTGGGCCGGGCTGGCTGACTGATGGGACACCGACTGACTGCTGGGCTGGGGGAGAAGAAGAATTGGTTGGTTGGCCGAAGGGGAGAGAGAGAAAGAATGGAGTCGACGGGACAGAATAGGTAGACAGGGAATGAGGGACAGGGCAGGGTAGGGAAGGAAGGATGGAGCCAGGACCAGAGGGGGGGAGAGACCAAGGGCCGGGGCGGACGCCGTGTCGAGCGAGCGAGGTGGGTCCCTTCTTTCCTTCACTCGGGCGCGCTGCACCTTCTTTCTCTCTTTCCTTCAGAGCTCTCGCTTGATCGTCTTCTTTTCTTCTGTCCTATTCCCCTCCCCTGGCGTATATCTTCGTTGCGCTTGCTGGGTAAGGTGGTATGGACCTGAACCCGGACAAGGCTGTGATTGGGGGTGACCTGATTTCGTGGCCGGGGCACAATGGGCGGGGGAGGAAAGGAGGTCGCCTGGTGCCCTTCTTCTCTCGGGCTGCTCTTGGTGATGCTAGGTGGAGAGAACCCGTACGCAGCGATCGGTCGACCCTGGAGCCGGTATCTATCCTACGAACGGGGGCGGCAGCTGGAGCGGCTGCAGACTGTGGTAGGTATTCGTACCTAAGGTACCTAGTGCAGTCGTTCTGATAGTGGGGGGGCGGGAGGCCTGCTATGAGAATCTGGCTGCTAGCGACTGGGAAGCGTCTCCCGGGTGTGCTAGGTAAGTCAAGGTGGTGAGCCCTGGCGTTGGGAGGTCAGATGAAGTTGCTACACCTGCATGGAAAGTGTGTGGAACGCGGCGATGGCGCAGCAAGAACAATTCGAAGACGCCCAAGAGGAGGACTGTGAGAGGGACTGAGCGCGATTGACGACACTGCTGCGAGACTGGCGCAGACGCAAATGCAAGTGCAGATGGAGGCAATCGCCGGCTTGGACAATGGAAGCAGCGCAGCCCCCAAGACAGGCGGACCAGGTACGAAGTCAAATACATACGAGACGGATATGTAATTAGCGGGCTGCAAGGCCCGAATGACGGCGAAGGGGCCGACGGTGTGTGACCACGCGGACAAGACAGACAGATAGGCAGGCAGGCGGCAGGCGGCAAAAAGGCATCAAATGAACTGGCAGAACACTCTTGGGGCTCAGAGACTCAGGAACCCAAGAGACTCTCAGGGACAGCAGACGGACAAGTCGGTGACGGCAGCTAACAGAGAGCCCCGTCACCAGTCCCAGTTCTTTGTCCCGAGGATATGACGAGACGCGGCCAAGTACCGGGGGAAGCAACCCAAAAAGGGGAGAGTGGACGCGGGATCGACTTACCTAGCAATAATAAGAGTACGTACGGTACCGCCGTAATCATAGGTATCTGAGCGGACAAGACCGCGCGCCCAAAGGAGGCGATGTCGCAAACTTGCCGAATGCCAGCTGCGTCGTCTTTGATCAAAGGGTCCTATTTGTCTTTTCCGCCTCTTTTCCAGGGTCCTCTTCTTGTGTTTCCCACAAAGTCCGCAGCGCGCCGAGGACGTCCCACGAGGGAAACGGACGCGGTAATTCAATGGGCGGCCGGTCAGGATCTAGACTGGACTGGGCTGGGTTTTGGCTGGCGGGATTGCGTTGCGTTGCGTTCTCTCTTCAAAGAAGAGCCGACCCGAGTCGGACGCTGGTCGGCCGGGAAGGGTTTCCAGTCTGCTGTAGACGGGGGAGCCACAGCCAGGGCAGCTCACGTCGACCAATTGGTGGCACAGCAGCCGTAGCTTGAGCAGCAAGAGCAGAATGGACGACGCCGCCGCGGGCAGTAGAGTCGGACCTGGCTTGGTACGGTACACGGCAGCGCCCAGGTACCTCGAACTAGCCCGAGGTACGCTATGCGCGCCTCCAGGTTTGAGTGTGTGAGCGTGAGTGTGGGTGTGTGTGGGAGGAGCGTGTGGGTGTGCCAGTGGTGTTGGACCTGGTACAGGTAAGGTAGTGTTGGCGTAATATCCGTGGTGTAGTCCAGCCTTCAAGTCCAAGGCCAGAACGCAACAGTGTTGGACGTAGCCCGCGAGAGCGGCTTCGTAAGTGGTGAATTGGAGTAACGTATTTGACCGCCGTTGTAATATAGCTGATGGCAGTGTCCGGCGAATCCGAGCTTCTGTTCACGGGCAACTGTGCCCGAGTCTGCGTTCAATATCGGGGTGAGGCCTGGGAGAGTGAGCGTGAGAGCGTCTGTGAATTGAATTGAATGTCGTTCTGAGGTGAGGGTCGGACCGGGTGCAGGCGAAGAAACAGCTTGGAGGTGGGGCCTGGGCTGCAGTATTATTTTATTTCCCTGCACCTGCGCTGCTTGAGCGGTATCCATCCAGTGTCCTGTCCTGGTGGGAAAAAGTGTGGGAAACTGTGGATTCTGGAACCAGACGTGCGTGCGCGCGGCCAGAAACTGAGCAGGACCCCGGGCCTGGGGGAGGCAGGTGCCAGGAACCGGCAGGTACAAGCAACTCGAAATTAACACCATGGTACGTACCTAATATCTCGTCTTCTTCAAGAGAAAGAGACTCGCAAGTCCAGTCTCCCATCCGCACTCGCCCACACTGAAATGGCGGAAGGAAAGGGGCCCTTCCTCCGGAGAGAAGAGCCACTTTGGAGACTAACGCCAGGGCCGATTGCGACTCTGTGTCCGCCGCCTTTACTGCGTAAGGTAGTCGCCTGTTCGCCGACCGGGGAACAAAAAAAACCACCACCACCACCTTCTCAAAGTCTACCTTGGTTGGAGTCTCCCTCCTAGAGTGATTTAACCCACCTCCATCTGCCTCCAACGCTTAAGCTCTTGCTTCATGACAGCATTTTGCCCGCCAACAAGAGAGAGACATCCAAGATCGGTCTCGCACTCCGCCTCGTCCCATCTTTCTGCCTTCCTATGCACTGCTACCTTATGTCGGAGATGGTGGGAGGAGGGGGCGGGCGAAAAGCAAAAGAAAGAGGACTAGCAACTTGAGCCAGCGAGGGCAGCTTTTGCCCTTTCTTTGCTGGACGTGTGATCAATTAGGCGATCTCGCGTCAGGATCGGAAATTTAGCATACGATATGTCCTGCGCAACCAGCACCACCCACCTGCAATGATTCGTCGCCTGCAGTCCACATTGCTACCTATCCGTACCTGCGCTCTGCTCCTATCCGTTTAGAGCCACGGCTGGTGGAGAGCCAGATCGCGACGCCCGCATCCGCATCTTCACCCTGTCTGCCGGTGCGGTGCGATGCGATGCAATGCGATTCGAGGCGAGACATGCGATGTGATGCTGTCGCCTTTACAAATACAGCCTCAGATGGCAGGACAACCTGAACCAGGTGGGTTCTTCCCTAGACGCGGACAAGGTCATGGAGGGAAGCGCTTGTCGGGCGACGAAGAAGCAGGGTCCAGTCCGGTACTCTGAGGTACCGCGACACTGAAGCGGAGCCCAAGACCACCATCGTCAGTTGCTTGCTTGCTTGCTATGCCTGCTGCCGGCAGAGCACCTGTATCAATGGTTGGAGAGGAGAGGAGAGGGAGTGCATTACCTCTACCTCTAGCAGGGAAAGGGTTTGGGACATCTGAGGCTCGGACTTGGGGTCGGCTGAAATGATAAATATCTGACCTATCCCGTCCTGCTTTACAACAGATGCACATACAGGACACCAGAAGCGATGACCACGACGCTGTCACCGACTGGCATTGCGCCTCATCTTTCAGTTTGCGCTTGGGGCGAAGTTGGAAGAAGCTCCCGTCCCCGTTGGTGCCTGTCCATGGCCTAGCTACAGCGCACAGGGACTCTGACAGAGATATTGAGTTTTCCAAGTCTCCCTCACCCCGTCTTGTGATGTGTCTGTTGGCTGTATGTGATGCATCATTGCCAGGAGCAGACCAAGATACGCCTTTCAGATTCAAGTTTGACAGAACTCTGGGTGCGGATGCCAGTCTTAACCTAGGAGGCGTCCTTGGGAGAGGCGGACGGTTTTGGGCCGCAGACAGGTTACTTGTACGTGAGTCCGAACCAACATGGGAAGGCGGCACAGTGCAACATCTCGCATGCACTCCGAGAGAGTGATGAGGATGAAGCATCATTGGCCTGTCCGTAAAACATGACCTGCAACTGATATCCGTCCTTACCTGCACTAGCATCGCAGGGGGCCAGGTAAGGTAGGAGCCGCCGCACCGGCACCCTCCTCCATCTTCAAGGCTTGCTTGGCAAAAGGCA